TTATAACTAAAATAAGAAAAGAGAGAAAAGCTAATAATAATTAATTAGAAAATTATTAATTTAATAAAATTATAAATTAAATATAATACATATAGCTAAATTAATAAATAAATAAGACTAAATATAGATAATAAAATAAATTAAAAATAGAATTATAAAGAAATTAAATTAATTTCTTATATATTTAATTTAAAAGTAATTGATAACTATATTATATACCATAACTATATTATATTATTATATTATTTACTGTATTATTCAAATAACTAATTGATTATAATATTAGTAAATATGTAGTATTTAAATTAAAAAAGATATTACATAAATTTTAATAATAATAAATAGTTTTATTATTAATTAATTACTAATTTATTATAATTTTTTTGTCTTTTAATTTATAATAATCAAATATAATTTTTATTTATTATATTATTATTTTATAATTATTTTATTTTTAATTAATATTTAAATTTATATATATTAAAAATTATATAATTTATTTAAAAATTTTATAATTTAATTAATTAATTATTATGAATAATTATGAGTAGATTAATAAAAATTAATTAATTATATAAATATTTTTTTATAATTTTTTCTTTAATAATTATTATATTTATTTCAAAATAAGCATTTCTGAAAATAAATATAAATAAGCTTTAGTTTTTAAATATAAATTTTTTAATAATAAGTCTATTTAAAAATAAATATATATTATATTTTATCAGAATCAATAACTAAATTATTATTCTATAATATAATTTCAAATATATATTTAATATCTGAATTATAATTATCAATAATATTATTATTCATTATTTTATTTAAATTATTAAAAATTTTATATTTTTAAAAATTTAATAATTATATTAGTTAAAATATTATTTTATATTTTAATAATTTATTTATAAATAATATTATAATCTAACTTTTTTAAATTTTCTTCTTTTATCAAATTATATTTATCTCTAACTATTCATACTTATCATTTTTCTCTAAGTTAATCTTTAAATAGTTTATTTAAATAAATATTAAAAATTATATAACTAATATAAAATTCTCTAAAATAATTATTAAGTTGATATTTTGTTTTTTAAATTATTTTTTACAGAATTTGTCTTATAAATTTCAAATGAATTCATTACTGATAAAGATTTTTTTTTAAATTTTTTTTATTTATAATTGTATAATTTATTTATCTATCCATTCTTTTTCTTGTATTTGAACAATAATTCCCAGGAGCAAATTATTAAAGATATTTTTTTTGAATATAATCATTGATATAAGTTTGATATCATCAGTTAAAACAATTAAAATACAAGTAAACTGATTTTTTCAATATCAGTGATTTATATATTTAAAGTTTTATTTACTTTTTTTTTAATAGTAACATTTTTCATCATATTAAAAAAAATATGTATCTCATCCATATTACCAATTTGTTCAAGATCATAATTTTGTGCTTGGTAATGACAAACAATAAATCATTGAAAAGAAATAAGCTTTTCATTAAGATCATCAGAAAGCTTCTGGAAGATTTTTGCTTTCCAATAGTTGTTTCATTTGATGATAGCATTTAATGTGATTTCATTTTGTCTAAACTCAAAAATCCATTCTTTGAGTCTTTCTTCAGCAGCAGGATAGGCAGCTTTTCAACCTGACCCCATATTATGATTGTCAAGACAAGCTTATCTTTGTATTTAATCCAATGTTATATCATCGAATGATCAACTCCAAATTTTCTGGCAGCATTCATTATGCCTTTTTCCGTGGCAAAATCGATAATAATAAGTTTTTCTGAGGCAGTATATGAATTGCGAGATTTTTTATTAGGATCGATCATTTTGGAAGAGAAAATTAACGCGAATTGACGCGAATCTACACTAATAAAACAAAAGATTGGAAGTACAAATACGTTACATTGGTAGTACATTTGCTGTTCAAAAAAATATGCCCGAAAATAAGCACGACCCCGATTTAGAGCTCAAAATATGCCTCAAAAACTCGTGCTTATTTTGGAGCAAATACGGTACGTGATATATGTCCGTCCCCTTATTAATGTATTACAATCCATCCGGGGTGAGGTCACTAGATCTAAGAAAGAAGAGGAGCTTTATTTTGAAAAGTTCCGAAGATAATATTTAAAAAAAGTAAAGTCGTTTTATATATCGGAAAATATTTATTATACTAAATTATTAGTTTTACAATTCTTTGATTCATGCATGCTTCTCCTGTAGTTTTATTCTATAGTGATAGGGAATGTTTCTTACGAAAATTCTTTTTTTGCAGATTATTAATGTGTGGAAAGATAGTGTTTCGATATTTAAATTAAGTTTTTTCTAATTTTGGGGATGGTATGACAAAAGCGATAATAAGTCATATCCTTATTTGTTCTATGTTGTAACAAAGTTTTGTTGTAATAATACGAGTAATGGACAATAATAATAATAATAATAGCGAGGATGAAATTGCAACAAAAGATGAAGATGAAGAGGATCGGCAATCTGATTTTATTAAATTATTCGAGAGCAATGTTATTTTTCTTGATGAGAATAAAAAGTAATAAAACTTGAATAAATTTTGATTTTTAATTGCGATTTTTGGATTGATTAGTTATTTTTACCAATTTTAGAGAGCTAAATCAGAAACAACCTCCAAAACTTCCACGTCGTGGTAAAAAATCTACCATCACCTGCAATAACCATACAGACGAAATTCATCTTTTAGAAACATCACGTGACGCACTTCACAGAGCCATTTCTCAAGAACGTAAAACAATATCGCGTAATTTGTGTCATGCAATTTGGCATGGGGCGCCAATAAATCAAGGACTGCTGACAAAAGTCCAGCATCAAGATTTTCATCGAGATATTGGACATACATCTACGTCTTTATCCAAATCTACAAGTATAGATCCTACTGCTAAAAAAGAAAAAGCAAAAGATGGTAAAATTTGGTTATGGCCTGAAGAAGTGTTATGGTTGATGGAACGTGGTGTGTTGATGTTGCAATATTGTGAAGCTCCAGTTTCTTTGCAACAAGCGTATGGGATGATGTTGACGATTGATAATAATTACGAGGATAATGAAAATGAAGATCTGTGGGTTTTTAATTTAGAGAAATATCAGGTCAGATTAATTTCTTTCTTTTGTATATGTATTTGCATCGATGAATAGTTAAACCAAACTTCAGTTCTGTGTTTATCGTGATCAAAAAAAAAAGGTTTATGCGTATCTAAAAAGACTTGGATACACCGTAATTAGAGCGCCTAATACTTACGCATCATCTTCATCATTATCATCAAAAAATCATTCTCCACCTACTCCTTCTACAAGCATGACCAGCGCATCGACATCATCTTCACCTTTTTCACTATTACCAACAACAAGATTTCGCCGGCTTTTACAAAACTTATCGACCATTTTATTATTTTTTAGCCCTCTGTTCTCCTTATTCGATCGTTTTCGAGATAATCCTAATAACGACAATAAAATTCATAATACTGATTATAATGATGTGATGTGTCGTCGTCCACTTGTTGAGCCTGGAACTTGTAGCACTTTAGGTATGTGTATGCATTGTTAATTATTTCTTTTATCTCTCTTTTTTGACTTGATTTATTCTCATTATTTTCCGCAATTTAGAAGAAGTATTTGAGAATCTACAAATAATTCAACGGATTGACGATGACGATGAAATGTACAGAAATCAATCGAATGATGACAAAAACGATTATACAATTGATTATTATGTGTATGCGAGTGGCACCAAATTCAAAAAGAAACAACCGGGTGAACCAACATTTCGTGTTTGTGTCGCCAGGTGTGTAATCTTATGGAAGATCTCTTATTCAATTTTTTGACAATTCGTTTCAATATTTCTTCGTTCCTAGTGCGAAATCAAAAACTCCACCAGCATTTCATGATTTTTCTAAAATATTCCACGAGTCAAATGAAAGAAGTAATATCATGTTTGCTATTGTCGAAGACGCAAATATCGTATTTATTTCTCGACAAGAAGTTAATTTTCATGAGTTAAATGTGAAAATTATCGGGGTTAATTGTTGATTAAAAAAATTCAATCTGGCAATATTAATAATCATACATAGTTAACAGAAAATGCTGTTTTTTATTCTAAAAATATTGGTTCTATTAAATTTGTGTAAAATTAGATGATTTTCAAAATTTCATTCTCTTGTGCTAATGATTTTAATAAAATATGGTAAAAAGGTTAGTTACTCTTTCTGATATAAACGTAATAATTTTGTAGAATTTTGAGTTTAATCGTGTTCCTTGCCCGAAATGACTTGATAGATTTTTAATTTAAAAGATTAAGTAAAAAAAATCGTAGAAAATCGCAGGAAATTTACAAGAGTTCTTCAAATTTTCTCGATCTTTGCTTTTTACATTCATTACTTTTCACAACGAATTATTTATTATGCTTAAAATGAATAAAATTATCAAATAACTATATACTAATTAATGAATTGCAATTTCATTATTTTTTTGAATAAATTCAATGATACTGTTTTAAATCTTCCAAATAACCCGGAATCTCTTCAGCTTTCATATCATTGATATCCTTCAACGCCTTGGCAATAATTTCCACACCCTCCATCAACTCCTGTTCAGTGATACAAAGCGGAGGCGCCAACCTTATGATATTAACATGTGTCGGCTTCGCTAATAACCCTCTCGATTTTAACAATAAACAAAGTTGCCATGCGGTTTTGTTCGATTTTGTCTCGTCGATTACAATGGCATTCAAGAGACCCCGACCACGTACTGTTTGTATAAACGGCGAGTCAATTTTTCGTAATGCTGCACGAAACTTTTCTCCTAATATTGCTGCTTTTTCTACTAGGTTTTCTTCCTTGATCACTTCAAGCGCAGCGATAGCGACTGCGCTGCCAAGTGGGTTTCCGCCGTATGTGGAGCCGTGCTCGCCAGGTTTTATGCAAAGCATTATTTCTTTGTCGGCTAGTACGGCCGAGACTGGATAGACCCCACCGGAGAGTGCCTTTCCGAGTAAAAGAATGTCAGGACGGACGTTTTCGTGTTCACAGCAGATCATTTTTCCGGTACGTGCAAGACCGGTTTGGATTTCATCAGCGATAAAGAGTACATTGTGTTTTTTGCATAGATCGTAGCAGGCTTTCAAGTAGCCGTCTTCTGGCACGTAAATGCTTTATATTTAATAGAATATAAATTTTCAAATGATTAACAATGAATTCATTACGAAAATAGAAGAATATCTTGGAAGAGAATAAATACCCAGCCTCTCCTTGAATCGGTTCAACCAAGAAAGCAGCAACATTTGGTCCATGAGCATTCAACGCATTTTCCAAATCCTTCAAATTATTATGCCTTACAACATCACCAGTCTTTGGACAAACCGGACCCACGTTCGGCAGATACGGACCGAAACCATCCCTCGCGGAAGGATCGGACGACATCGAGATAACACCAATGGTACGACCATGGAAATTGTTGGTCGCCGCAAGGACAATTGCCTTGTTTGCCTCAATGCCTTTTTTCTCGTACCCCCATTTTCGTGCGAGTTTTATTCCGGTTTCGACGGCTTCTACGCCAGTATTCATTGGTAGAACCATTTCGTAGCCAAAATACTGTTTGATTCGGTTTAGATTTTGAATATGAAATAGCGGATTTTTTGAGAGATGAAAAATGTTTGATTAAAATTTCTTGACGTTTGAAGATTAAGCTTTTTGATGTAAATAACAATAGCAATACTATAAGGACAATACAATAGTAAGTTAACTTTGGGAAAATACCCCAAGAATCTTCGTAAATCATTCTGTAGATTTGGTGATGATAAGCGACCATCGTTCTGTGTAAATATTATATATAGTATAGTATTTACCAAGACTCTTTTTATAATTAATTGTTTAAATCTAAACAAAAAGCGTAGGTAGGTAGACAAAGTAATCAACCGAGATAAAGTCGAACTAAAATAGTTTATATTTACCTCGGTAACATATTTGGCATACTTTCCGAACACATCATTATAAAACGCGCGTGAGCTCAACGTCAGCGTTTGCGCCTGATCACACAGCGCTTTTACAATTTTCGGATGACAGTGACCTTGATTCACCGCAGAATATGCGGACAAAAAATCCATGTATTTGTTGCCCTCTGGATCCCATACATGTGCGCCTTGACCTTTTGCAAATACTACTGGAAGTGGGTGGTAACTGTTCGGATGAAGTTTTATGGTTCGATAATCAATTGTTTGAAATATATCAAAAAATCATGACAAATGGAAATTTTGTGGACTATATACGGGAAACACCACCACTCTCGTTTTTAACTACTCACTTATGTGCACCATACTCATGCTCAAGGCCAATTAAAGCTTGTGAAGTGAGATTATCTTGTATTCCATTAGATTGTGCCATTTCTTAGAAAGAATAATATAATAACTGCAGTTTGAAAATTTAGTTCTTTATATTTTTTTTGCTTTGTAGCTGTCTTTTACAGTTGAAGCTTTGGTCTCTTTATATATAATCTAAGCAAAAAAAAATTTTTTGATTTAATCACGTTTTTTGAAGAAAATGAAGCATCAGGTCCCTGCGTTGTTCCGCGTGATACAGTCTAAATTTTTTTTATGATATCATCATACTGAATGAATTAGAACCTAAATAGAGTAGTAGGAATGCTGATGTGGGAAAAATATCCTGGGAACTTTTGATTGTGTGGGTGTGGAGTAACGCTGCTAGGCAAATACAGTTTCTTTTGGAGTTGGAATATGAACTTAATTAAAATCTCATGTGCATTGTTTATTTGTAATATTAATAAATAAAATAAATAAACCATTTCTCTCCGTAATAACCAGCCAATAAAAAAATTTACCGATTATTATGGTATGACATAATTCGACAATTGACCGAGAATATTATTGTTTTCTATTAACGCCGCAGTCGTTTTTTGAATCTTTCCGCCACAATATCATCAGTAGCCATCTCTCTACGTTGACCGCTACCGCTTGCATTACTCTTGTTTTGATGGTAGTGTTGTGATTGTTGTGATTGATCTCGTACAGATTTGGTATCACTTGATTGTTGTTCATTTTTATTATAATTGATACGGCCTCTTCCTCCTTGTTCATCACTTGTCGCTTGTCGATTACGAAAGACTATATATATATAAGAATGTATTAAAATAAAGAATATAATAAAGAGTTCATTATAATTGTTCTTACATCGATTATTTGTTGCAAAATTCGTTCCTGGAAGCTAGAAAATAATGATAAAAAAACTGATTAATATATTTTTTATTTAACTATAAAAACACACGCATATTCACCGAATTCTTGTCCTCGGTAGGTTTTTGATGTCGTTCTTCCAATAATCTTCGTTTTGCCTTTTCTGTTTCTTCAATATTCTTTAATCGTACACTTTTCGTCATCATTAATGAATCATAGGGAAGCATAAATTAGAATAATTAAAAAAAAAAAACCAATAATAAATATACGGATAAAAGATTATCTCACTCTATGCCTAGATCAACTTCCGGGATAGCGGTAAGCATAGTTGTCGATAATTGCACGTTTCCCTCTGAAATTGGCTTACTCTCAATCTAAAAAGCATAATTTAAATTAATGAGTCAAGCAACCCAAAGAAGCAACGCAAATATAAAATATACCCGTAAATGATCTGGCGGTTGAAACAATTCATCTTCGGGATTCAAAGGTTTATTATTAGCCTCAACTTCATCTTCATTTTTAGAGAGTGTTGTAGATTGTTGTCCGCCTCTACGTTTACGCATTTCTTCCTCGATAAATGCCATCCTGTATATACAAATTATGATTTTCGTGCGAATAAATCATCGAGGATGCATTATTTAATAATAGAGAGAAAAGAAATAGATCGTTAAATTAACATATATAAAGTAATTACCGACATGTGTTTATCAATATCTAACGCGTTCGTCTGCTTAGTAAATGAGTCAAGCATGATTTTTCGTTGTTCACCAGTCTCCTCCTCTTCTTCCCTAAATTAACAAGATTATTTTAGTTTATATTTACAATTATTTCTTTTTTTTTGATAATAAAATACTTAAATAATGCTCACTCTTTTGCTGCCTTTACCGCTTCAATATCCACCAGTCCGCCAGAATTCAATTTCCATGGATCATCATCTTTCTTCTTTTTCTTTAGTTTCACATCCCCTTTCGACAGTTTCTCTACGTCAATACCTTGTGGTCTTCGTCGATATTTTCGTAACTCGATAAGATCTTCGATTGTCTCACTTTTTATTTGTCAATCGAATTAATAATTCAGAATTCAACGTGAAGAATAAAGAACAGAAAGACTCGTTTATTCGAAACTGGTGTTTGATGCTGACCTACCTCACTTCCGAATCCACTTCTTGCTGTTGTTGCATTATATCAGAACTTTGAGTTTGTTTGTTTGTGTCTTTTTGCTCGTCATCGGACGAACCAACTCTTTTACGATAACTTCGTTTTTTGGATGCCATGCTTTTCTTTCTGCTATTATTATTCTTTCGCACTGAAGATATATGATGATATTCAAAGTCAAAACGCTTTTTTACAAGTAATCAATTTCGCTGTAGATCAATATTGTAAAATGTAATGGAATTCTCAACAATCAAAGAACACAATACGAATTTAAATCTAGTAATAATACAATAAAACAATAAAATCTAAGGCGTAATCTCTTCTCCCAGGAAAATATGCTAATATTCGCCTTTTTTTGAGAATCTCTTCCATGGGGAGTAATCTTACATAAGTCATCCGATAATGGCATGATATCTTATGAGACCTATGTTTAGCTTCTCGAGATTCAAATAATGAACCGATCGTCAAATTAACTAAGCGCCAGCAGTTCGTATTAAAAGAATCCTGACCAATTTAACGCCCTTATCGTATATTTTTTTTAGTTTTTCATAATTGGAACAAGTGTCTCTCTTTACTGTCGTTAAGCAATAACCATTACAATAGGCACTATTAACAAGGAAATAATACATGTAGGACTTGTCTTTTTACTCGGTCAATATTTTTTTAATCCTTTTTAATCGACAGATCTGCTTACTAAATGAATACAATTACTCATGGGTCCAATTTGGATTGCGCTTTTCAACAAAAGCTTTCATTCCTTCTTTTTTATCTTTCTGTAAAACAAATTGCAATTAAATTTCAAGATGCTGAAAATAAAAAATTGATAATTTTCAACCGTGAAACAATCCGTCTTACCAACGCAAAAGTGCTCTGGAATAACCTTCTCTCGAAATGACATCCTTCCTTCAGCGATAATTCGAATGCTGTATTATTTTAGATAGCAACAATGTGATATTAACTATATGCTTTTTAATTAAAAAGCAGTGATAATAAATGCAAGAGCAAAAATGACATGACACATCCCATTATTAATTGATTCCTTCACAGCTTGGACAGCCGGTTGTGATAGGTTAGCAATTTGTTGTCCCAGCTTGATCGCTTCTTCTAATACTTTATCAACTGGCAGCACTTTGCTCACGAGACCCCACTTTTCAGCTTCTTCCGCGGTAAAATTTTTACCCGAGAGAATAATTTCCATCGCTTTGGATTTGCCGATAGCACGAGTGAGACGTTGTGTACCTCCAGCACCTTTATCAAATCGAAATAATAATTGCAGAAGTTTTTTTTTTAATAATCCAAAATAAACTTATAGATGTTTTTATTATTTTACCCGGTAGTATTCCAAGCTTTATTTCGGGTTGGCCGAATGTCGCTTTTTCTCCAGCGTATATAATATCACAACTCATTGCTAATTCACATCCTCCACCCAGCTTACATTAGTTATAAATTATTGATTAAAGCTAACGTTAATTAAAGATCCTAGCAAACGTTGAAGTGAATTTTTTAGTTTTACCGCAAAACCATTGACGGCAGCAATGATTGGTTTCCGTATATCAATAATTCTTCCCCAATGTCCAAGAAAATTAGCTTTGTAAACTTCCGCAAAAGTTTTGTCTTGCATTTCCTTGATATCCGCACCAGCTGATCGAACAAGGATCCCATTCGTGAACAAATAAAAAAAAGGGGTCCATATGAATAACTAGAGAGATGATATAAATATAGGAGAAATCGCGAATCTCTAGATATTTTATTAAACTAATATAACCTGCAAATGCTCGTTCATTTCCAGTAATTACAATAGCTCCAATATCTGGATCATTATCATAGCGTTCAAGTGCATCATTGATTTCGTGGAAAAGACTGCTTGATAGAGCATTCAATGCCTTAGGCCGATTCAAGGTTAGCAAACCAACCTTTTCATGACTTTCAATCAATATCTCTTTATATGGGTTAACAGATTCACTGGCGCCTTCGGCAGCGTCTATTTAAAAATATTCAATTAAATATTTATAAATTTTATTCACATAACTTACCTGTTGGATATTTACTTCTTAGTGGCGAATAAGTAGTAAAGAAAGCAAAGGGTAAGGTATGTGCAGGGCGTTGCTGAGACAAAGGACGAATTAAGCACGAGAACATGGTGTGAAGAGAAATTGCGAAAATCAATGAATAAATTTTTAAATTTTTAAAAGTACGATTCACGTGATAATATTCACGGATCAGTAATCTCGTGAGATTTTTTAAAGTTCATCGGATGTACACTTCGGAATCGGGGATCATAAATCATACATCAAACATTCTTTACGTCAATTGTTAACGAGAGATTGTCAACAAGAGCTTCGCTGTTGTGTGTGCAATTTTGCCATGGCGCTGAACAAAAAAAAATAAACTTTCCTACTTCCTTCCTTTCTTCCTTCCTTCAATTGACAAATGTAAAGAATGGTTTGATGTATGATTTTCCCATTGGAGAATCGGAGGATCGATATCCCCGATTCCGAAGTGTACATCAGCCACTTTTATCACGTGATGGACTACACTCCCTAGATAAGGGTGTGGTGCATAATTGCATTATTACGCGATCAACGCTGATACTAGTTTTACAACCGAGGTGTGTAGGTTGTCTCTTCGCACGGTATTTAACCCAGACAAACCTTAACTTCGGACTATAACCAAATGATTAGTGATTGTGGTAGAGTCTTATGGCAATTTCAATGGAAATATTTGACTATTGATGTCACTAGCAATATAACATGAGAATAAGTGATTTATCATGAAGAAGTTGGATGAACTAGACTCGCTTTGGCTAATTCTGGTCTAACTTTTTCGGATTTTTCCTTATAAATATCAGGTAACTTGGATTAAGATGTAGGTGATCAAGAGTTACTGAACATCTGGTTACTGAACAAATCTCATACTGATGGCAAAAATATTATATTTCTACATAGTAATTTTTTAATTGTTGTAAATCTAATCATTTTTATCGATATTTCTTTGTTTTAACAATAATGTCTTAAGAGCAATGATATTTCAAAATAAACAAAAGATGATCGCGTTTTCCCTTTGAACAAAATTTTACCTATATTTCCATTACATTGTATAGAGAATCCGTTGATCAATATCGCATTCGATTTGTCTAATCGGTAACAGGTGTTTAACTTCATATAATATTCTAGTCCTTGAGAAATTGGATCTTGTGAAACTCCACGAACATAACCACTAATCAAATAGTTATTACCGTTACCTATTAAGCTTTCATCCCCCTTTTACTAAACCTTTATTCAAGAAGCTTGTGTGTTTGAGGTTTTATTATGGCATGCAACGAACAGGTTCGTTAATAACAGGAAAGCAGTTAAGGTGCAAGGTATTCTGAAGTGCTTTAGTATTTTTTTTTTTTTTAGTAATGAAAACAGTGTAATATCAACATTAGAAATATGCAAATTAAAAGGGGATCGAGCTATTGTGCAAGCTGATAATGATAACTTTAATTATTAAGCACAATCTTTGACATCAAAAGTAATCAAATCGAAAAAAATTTTAAAATGTACATAAATGACTAATAGAATAACATTAAACTAATAAATTAAATAATGTCAATGATAATTTTTAAGAAGGACGAAAAAAGAATGCGAAAAAAAAATGCTAATTAATGTTAATTGTTCGATGTTTTGTTTTCAGTTCGGATGAGAGATGTTTAAACAAGCAATGACTGATTATTCGAGTGTAAAAATATTAAGTGTCTTTTTTGTTTTTGGAGTTAATTATTCATTTACACTTAAAGACATGACAGGTAACTGCGGCGGTTCCTCAGATATTGCACTTATCGGCATTTTCGGTAAATGACTAAGCACCTTGGGTTGCTGCTGATCATCCAATTCTACTTTTTCCACCTGTTCCCAATTCTCGTCGTCGAGCAAATTAAATGTCCGTGATGCAGCTGCTATACCTGAATTTTCGACTTCCGCTAAATTTATCACTGAATTTTTCTTATTGTTGACGTAGTACCCGGCAACAGCATCAGCAACAGGAACGGTGGTATCATGTAGAAGTGGCGGTAAAGATGATGAGTCGTTTAAAGTTAAAGAAGAAATATCGAAGGGTACGGTGTTATCATTATTGCTATTTCTGATGTTAGTGTTTTGTACCAACGGGATTACGGAGGTAGTTGGTGAAATGGGCTGTTGGTCGTTTGGAGAACCGGTGTATTGTCCAACATTAGAATTACGATTATAAATGGGCTCTTTTACATGGTGTACATGAAGTATTGGCCTGTTATATAATATGTAAAAAAATTCAATATCACCATTTATTATGTGAAAATAACAGTTGCGAAAATGGTGAAAGAAAAAGACTCACAATGTCTTATTAACCCAACTGGCTAAAATCTGAAGTCGTTGTTTCTCTCCTGTGCGTGATCTTGGTAATGTGCCTGGTGCGAGAAATACGATAACATCGAGCACAAACTGATATACTTCCAAAACAACTTTAAGTATCGCGGGGACAAGATTCAAAATGCCTTCGGTTTTTCGCACTTCAACTACACAAACAGTTTCACCATTTGTATGGAATATAACACTATACAGATTTAAAACAAAAATTAAATAATCAGCAAAATCAAATTAAAAATTAATGACAGAATAAAATAATAGTTACCAGCTAGGCCCAGACACCAATTTCACGGGCCACTTTTCATTACAATACCGTTCAATTGTATACTCAACATCACAATAGAAATGCATTAATCCATTAACCTCAAAAGTCTCAGCGATCGGTCCCAAATAGAACAAACACTGAAACTCGACCAACGCGCCATTATCACCAGCTGGTTTCTGTAATGTGTGAAGAAACCCAAGATCACCGGTGCGGATATACCGCATTCGTGGGTCACCACCTTCAATGGTCGCGGCGAACCGTTTTTTGTCTAGCGGATCCGTTGAGCCATATAGTGATTTGCCATTCGCGTCTGATGCTACCCATATTTCACCGAACTCATTGCTTAGACACGGACGACGCGTTTCTGGATGAACGATTGCAACTTGCGTTGATATTGGTACCTTTTAATTTGATGTACATATATAAACATTGATAATATAACAAATACAACATCCACCTAAATTTTCTGTTAGTAAACTTACCAATCCCACATCTTGTATCCTCGTTTCATACATATTTTCTTCAATTTCTCCGGTCCCAGGATCGTTAATTTTTATGAGACCACGTCTTAAGCTATCCAAATCGAGCGCCAATTCAAATGGCTTCACAAACATATGGGATCGTGTGGTCACCATCGGGTTGGCAATGTGACTGTATACGTAACTGACATGAATTTCTTCCAAGCGATTGGGAAGAAAAGCACGCACAATTCTTTTGACTATTATTTGGTTATTTAAAATGAAAACCAAATTTTGTTAAATTAATAGAATAAAGAAGCATAAAAATTTTAAGAACATAATTAAACTAATTAGATGTCTTTAAACGTTACATTTTTCAGGATTTGGTCGTCCTTCAACTGGAAGCATTAGGTTCTTCATATTTACAAGATTGAAATTTTGAAAGTCTACATTTGCAAAAAAGTTTACTGCGTGTTGTAACATTGGGAAAGTCGAATATGCATTTTCAACTTTGAAAAAAACAATCGATATTAATATTGAGCAATGATTAAAATGAAGTGAAATAATAATAACATGGCACGAGAGCTTACTTTTAAAGTGATTGAGATTATCGAACCAAACTAATGGATTTGCTTGATAATCAGCCGGTGAATATAAGATCGTTGGTGCTCCTATGTATTAAAACGAGTTTCGGGTTAGAGAGCTCTCTTTGGTTTAACATATTCGATGTACTAAATAATTACTTACCTATATATACACCAAGTAGCACAGACTGCACAAATCCAATTCCATTAAAACTCTGTTCACAACTCATAATAGGCCTCGAATTAGACATTCGACAAGTTTCTTTTTGTACTTTACAAAGCGCCAGCAAATTATCATGTCCCAATTTTACGCAAGAACGACTCATATCCGACGAGAAATAGCATAACACCAACGCCGGATAATGCGGGTCCATCCACTGACTCTGCACCCCATAATTAGCTTCCTTTAGAGTTTTTGTAAATTTAGGCGCTTTTGTTATATTAATAAAAGGAGGTAATTTGGCCGCATACTTGCCAGCAGTTTTCAAATACGCTTGAACTTGTCGGCCTTTTAGCAGGGCTTCAGTATCGTTGTTTATTAAAATGTATGGGATTTCAAAGTCCTCGCAGAGTGCTAATAATGCAGGTACGTCTTCTTTTGCGCGATTGATGTCTGGCGGTGCGAGAGGGATTGGTGTTACTCCGACCACGAAGCACGCATAAAGTGTAACGATATAGTCCAATCCGTGTGGAAATAATAGTATTGTGTGGTGACCGGGTTTACAGCCTTTCTTTTGCAGGTAATTTGCAATAGTAGCAATTTTATTGCTGAGTTTTTTCCATGAGGTTGATTTTCCTTCCCGACCGCGAATATCAAGACAAGTGTATGCACCATCTTCAGGCGCTATTAGACTACGCCATATAAGAATTTCCACAATATTTTGAAATTTCAAAAGGTCAAATCCAGTTTGATCGTCTGTAACTTTTTGTGGAACTTCCATCCCAGTATATTGTGGACGCCGTAAGCCTGAACCAATATTGTTTAATGTTTGTCTATCCTTCAATGCCTCTTTTTAAATTAAGGAAATTCAATAATCAGATAGATAATAATAACAATAATAATACGTTAATGTTAATTCACGGTAAATACAAAAGAAAAACGCGGAAATTACGCATAGATATGCAAGGAAAGTTTACTCACCAGGTCCCCATATACCGCCAGCTGAATCAATTCCCATTGGAATATTGAATACTGTACGCTCAACTGCCGTCTTTACACATACAGGCTTAAGTTTTCCAAGATCATAATATTTTCGACAATGCATATTATTTACTAGTTTTTTGCCGTTTCGCCAAGTGCGTGGTAAAGTCCCTGCTGGACATATCATCGTACAATAAACGCGAATTCCATGGTATTCAAGTAAAGTGTTCATTATTTGATCTGCTAAAGCAGCTAGTCTGTTGGATTCTAGAGATGATTCTGCCACAAATATTGGCAAAAATTCTTCGTTAACAAAGCTTTGGAATGCCGCGCTAATTTTCATTAAAAAAAATTCAAAAAATTTTAAATTAATAAAATAATCATTGATTTTTCGATTAATATTCACATACCAGCCATCAACGCCTGCAATATGAGTAAGCACGGTTTTTTCCAAATCTGTCGTATAATGAAACTCCCAAATCTCTTTTTGAGATTCTGTTTTTGGCGGTTGTTCTTCAGCCAATTGCCGTATTCGATCTTCATACAAACCGAAAACTACCAATTGACCATTTATCAAACAGCCCAATAAGCCAGTTCTCAAAAATTCTTGCTCGAATAATTCGGGGACACCTGTTGTTTCAGGTACGACCAATGGTTGCGCATGGAATATTAATTTTGTATCATTGTGAAGTTCCCAGAATGCTCCACTCAATGAAGGAGAGTCGACCCAAACTTCACCAACAGTATTTGGTAAACAAAGTGCAGTTGTTTCTGGGTCTACAATAGCAATTGTGGCTGTATATATAATGAATAAAAAAGATGTTGATCAATATTAAGTATTATTAATTCTATCGTATATAAATTTAATATACCTTCTGGCATCACAAATCCAAACGCGCCGACTCGTGATACACCTTTTTCCCCATCTCTTTTCCTAATCTCTTGTTCATCAACAGCAACCACGATAATTTGATTATATTTCAATGCTTCACGATCAATCAAAAATTCCTGTACTTGTCTTTGACCTTCCAGCCGATCGTCCAACCCCTCGACACCTATCAAATCGCCGAAACTTAAAATCATGCCACCATGCTCGGGTAGACTACTCATCGGTGTAATCGCATCATACGGAAATCGTACACCGAGAGGTCTTAAAAGATTTTCCGCGATATCATCATTACGTTGCGGGTCAATAACCAGCGTGTCAATAAAAAGAAATCGTAACGAAGACAAATCAACCGTTTGTTTTTTTGCATAATTCAAAGTTGCGCTCGGATCACGCTTAAAGGATTGAACGACAGGATGTAATCCGGGATAATCCGCTAGAGCTATCGTAACTGTTAAATAAAGAAGAATAATATTTCATAAACCAGTTCAGCTGAAAAAAATTTCTTCAATATTGAAAAGATTTATAAATATTTTCGCTGGTTCACCTCGATATTTGGAGATACAATTCACCCAAAGTCCAGGTACATCCGTGCCAAGACTACTCAAATATACGGTAGTATTTCCGCAAAATACTCCAAACAAGGCACCTAGTATAAGCCCAACTTGTTGTCGAGGATCTAGATGTGTCAATAGTGTATCAGAATGTTGATGTTCAAAAAGTGAATTTGGATCAGCATTATCGAGATTGATATGAAAATTTTTTTCGGTGATTGATCCACGCATGACCCCACATTGTGCCATGATTGTTCGGTGACTGACCATAACGCCCTTCAAATCATGATTAGGAGCTCTCGTGTATTCTATATATGCTAAATCTGTTGTCTGAATTGGTGGATAGTCATCTTTTCTCTTTGGATGATAGCCGCTGATTTCATTCGTTTTCCACCATTCAACGTTAGTTGGAAGTTCTTTACGTTGGGCTGCAAGATCCCTAGTGAATACTTTAAGATCATGTTCAGTCGTCAATGCCAATCTTGAATTTGTGTTTTTTAGAATATCACATAACTCCGTGAATTCTTCAGCAGCATTAATCGGAACAGCCACAACACCCGCCAAGAAACACCCATAAAAAGCAGTAAGAAAATCTAAGATTTCAGATTTTCGATAAATAAGTGCTACTCGATCACCTCTAGAAATAGATCGATGTTTGGAAATCATTTGCGCAACCCTTTCTGCACGAGAATGTAATTTTTCCCATGTCCAAGCATGAACTTCTTTTCCTTTTGGATCCAACACAACAAAGGCCAATCGTTTTGGCGTGGAAATTCCACGGTGTCGAAACACAAATGCAATATTTGGAAATGTGGACATCATTTGAGTTGGGTTCAACGGATCTACAATGTGAAAAGGTACATCACGAGGTTCGAATGGCATAAACTGTTTTCCAGCAAGGTTTGAAAGCTCGGGATCGAAATTTGGAGCATCAGATGATTGTGGTGGAGCAGCAAGAATCATTCGTGAAGCACGATTATTATGTGAAACACGACTTGTGCCTTTTTTATTCCATCGATTATTAAGTATAATGTCAGTAAAATATAAAAATTGTGTATAACTCGAATAAAATCATAAATCGATTACAAACTTCTTTCAAGTTTTTCATTTTGCCCATTCATTAATCCGTATTTAAATGCGACATTAGTCACTGGAATCGAAGATGATCGATTTGATCGAATTGATATATTATCTTCTTGAAATCTAGCAGCTAAAAAGAATTCATCAGATTTTGCATAAGTCCATTTTAAACAAACTTTATAAATATTATATACTGTTACTATTATTACTCACGAATTAATTCATTTTCGTATGAACTTCGAACATCGGTATTTGATCGGAAACTTTTTATACTTGCAGTATCTGACATAATATCAAGGCTTGACCTGATTTCCAGACTACCTCTTGGAGAATTTTCCTCGTAGGCAAGTTGACTTCTAACCTGCTCAGTTGCTCTATTTCTCAATGGGTAATCAATAGATCCACGGGGACTATAAACATCATTTTTAGGCGGTGGAAGGGGCGGCCTTTGAGGAGGGGGTCTAACATTAACTGGCGCAGAGGGGCGAAATGGTCGGGGCACAACTGGAGGAGGCGGTCCATAATATTGTTGAGAGGGATGATATGGTTGAATAGGAGGTGCGGGCTGTTGTTGAGGAGAATTAGGTCTAAATGCAGGTGATGGTCCATAATTCATTTGAGATGGTAAAGGATGGTTTTGTTGCTGTTGTTGTGGTAATTGTTGTTGATTTAAAATAATTGATTGAGACGGCGGGGGTCGATGATAATTTTGTTGTTGTGGAATTTGGGTATTTATGGATAGAGAATGATGTTGGTGGTGAGCCTGTTGTGAAGCACGCATACCACGTCCTGGATGTTGAGGTGGAATAGCAGGGGGTGGTCCCTGCGAATCACGAATATTATGATATATATCACCATTTTGACCACGTATAACAACACCTCCACCGCCACCACCAGCAGCACTTCTTACTCTTTCTATTGGATCGACAGGTGAAACTCTTGGTGGCGACGCGTGATAATGTGCTGGAGAGGTGGTATGAAGCGAATGATTATGATGCGTTATGGGTGAATTTTGATTTGAGTATGGATTTGCAGATGCATTATAAGGCGATTGTTGCTTTGGTTGTGGTTGTTGAAAGTGTTGTAATTGTCGATCAGGTGATCCTACCATCGACGTTTGTTCAACAGTTATCGGAGCAGTAGAGATTAGATGCATGTTATTATTAAAATTATCATCATTCTTACGATGCACGTAGTTATGGTTATTGTTGATATTGATGTTTCCTTCCATGCTGCTTTTTATTTTTGGTGGTGCTGGAGGTAGACTACCACCAGCAGCAGCAACACGATGAGATAATGGTGGTTCCATGAATTCCGCCAATAAAGCATACTTTTTCTTTTCGAATCCTTGTCGTGTTATATCACCCTCAGCAAATTCATGTTCTAGCTCACGTAATCGCACTTGAACGTGCTCAGGCAAACTATTGTAATCGATGCCGCTACCATCCATGTATGAAACTTTAGATTACGATTACTATTACTATCATCTACTAAGGACCAAAATCACTTTTTCGCTTTCAATCAATATATTTAAATATAACTCGAAGAGCGCGAGCGAGAAAACTTTGTGTCTTTTTATATGTGTAAGTATATAGGTTTTATTTTTCACAAGAAAAAATTCTCGTAGTTGGTAAAGAAAAAGATATAAGTTAAATAAAGGAAGCGGGAGGAGAACCTGGATATAGGGAAGATGGAATGAATAAAGGCACAAAGTTATAATTTCAGTGTGGTTGTTAGATTGTCAAAATCACTCTTACACTGAGTAGAAGATTATACAACAATTATGCTTTGTACGATGCGATATATTTCCATATATATTGAAGTATTTGAAGAATTTGGCGTATATATTTCTTCACCATGTACTATGATGCACTCTATATTTTTAGAGATGGATGCCAAGCTTATTTTATTTTATATTAATTCATTGATTTCCCTTTTCGATTGACTAGGTAATTAAATATGCGAAATGTCATTGTTTCAGGCTTATAACACTATCGAATAGTTTCATGTACGCGCGTCTTCTAACTCACGTGTATCTGTATGTGTTGTGCGTGGAATATACAGTGACTCTCATTAATGTATCAAAAAAAAATTTATTAATAAAACTATCTCGAGTGATGCAATTTAAAGATAGTATATCTAGTCTCCACTATAAAGAAGGTCCACTACAATTACCCTACTATAGTACCCTAGTCATGTCCGAAAAAAAAGTTTAGTTTAGGCTTAAAAATTGAGTTAAA